CCCTCGGAAAAGGAATCCTCCGGGTCTAACGGCCTAGAAATAACGCGACAATGGCCGATTACGGTACCGAAGGGAACTATCTCCCTCGTGATGGCCTTTAATAAATACTTCTACGCCCCTTTTGCCGTCTGGTCCACCATCTTGATATGTTTATTACCACGTGGTTTTTCTTAACTATGTGGCACCGGCTAATTGATTCATCGCGTGGCTTACTCGCACAGAGATCGTGGACATTTATTATCATCAGCAAGGAGGCAATAAACGAAAAAAATTACCCCTTTCCTTGATGATGTGTACTCTTCGATCGACGGAGAAAGAAAAAAAAAAAAACAAAAAAGGAATTAAAAGAATATCGTCGTACGTTGCAATTCTCTAACGCAGCTGTCTTTACTCTTTGCGTTGCCCGCGTGTTTGTCACCTACGCAGCTGCGATGCTAATTATTCTAAATTCTGTCACGCTTCGCTGGTAGAATATCGTGCCAACCGTTTGTTTCATTTTATTATTGAAATCATCGATTTTAGGGACCGCGAAAGAGAAAGAAAGAAGGAGGAGAAGATTTCAGTCAGTTTCGTACAATTCGACAACTTATCTTTCTTACAAAGAAATGTCAATCAAATCGTCACGTCGCCCTAAGCTCGGCTCGCGTACTGCTATTGCGAATAACGAGAGAGCGGGAAACATGTTTAGCGAAACTTCCGTCACAAAGAACGAAATATCGTGCTCTTCGATGGGCGTGTGATGGACGTGGGAATTCAAAAAGTTACGTTTCCGTGTAAGTTCGAACGAGGGGGCAAAGAGAGGGAAATAGGAACGAAGAGAAGGAGACGGAAAGGAAGAGGGAGAAAAAGAGAGGGGGGAAAAAGCGAGGCGGAAGCAAATGGAGAAGTTTCTCCCTTCCGTCTACTTGGTACGAATTCGCCTACTCTTGAAAAAAATCTCGCCGACTGGTTTCCAGTCGCACGATTCCGGACAATCGTCCCTCGCTCTAATTTGGCGAACGTACCCTCTGCTCCCGCTTCGGGAAAACTTGAGAGAAACTGGGGTGAATCGTCGAGACGTGTGTCATTTCTGCGGTTTTTTTCTTCGGTGCTACGTTCGAAGCACAGGGACGAGGCAAAAAAGGAAAAAGAAAAAGAAGAAAAAACGCGAGGCCTCTTTTTCGACAGAGTCGTTGTCAAACGTGTAACGCAGTGTCTTTTATTCTGTGCCTGGTTTCTTGGACCGTCGACTGTTGTACGCGATCGATCAAGAAGAAATTAAAAATATTATCAATAATTAATAATTATACACGACATTTAATTATTAATAATTAATAATAATAATAATTCATACAGATATGTCATCTATGATCAAGTCAATAGATTCTTGGACCATTGTATATGATCGATCAAGAAGAAATTGGAAAGATTATTAGTTAATTATCTACAGTTAATGATTAATAATTATACGCTACAATTAATAATCAATAATTGATAATAATAATCCATACAGATATGTCATCTATGATCAAGTCAATAGATTCTAAAAGTGTCTAATTTCTTGGACCATTGTGTATGATCGATCAAGAAGAAATTGGAAAGTTAATAATTAATAATTATACGCTACAATTAATAATTAATAATAATAATCCATATAAATGTGTCATCTATGATCAAGTCAGCAGATTCTTAAAATTGTCTAATTTCTTAGGCCATTGATCGTTCTACATAATCGATCAAGAAGAAATTGGAAAGATTATTAATTAATTGTCTACAATTATTTACACAGATGTGTCATATGTGATCAAGTTAGTAGATTTTTAAAATTCCAATTTTTTTGCGGCCATCAATCATTCTACGTGATCGATCAAGAAGAAATTGGAAAGATTATCGATTAATTATCTACGGTTGTCCATGTAATTATGTCATCTATCAGATCCTAAAAATTCGTAAAAGTTCCTTACTCGTGAAAGTATTTCATATTCCGGAGTGCATCGTCGGAGTTTGTACACCCAATTCAAACACACGTTTCCCTCCCTTACTCGACGCTCTCGACTAGGTTTTTAATTACAAGTCAAGAGTTTTCCCTTCTCTCGAACGTCTTTGTTCGAACTTGAAGCGCGTGGCTACGCGCGCGTCGTGCTTTGGAAGAGAAGAGGAAACAAACCGCCTCTAATTACGAGCGAGGACATGCGGGACGTTGTGCGTCCGCATCGCAAATTCGCCATTCGGCGTAATGAAATCTCGCTTTGTGACCCTTTGGATCTCTCTGTTATTCCCGATATTCTTTCTTACAAGCGACGCAGCTGTCCCGCAGCTATAAAACCGTGAAACCGATTCCAATTTCGTCCTTCAACGTTCCTCGACTTTTGTTCGCTCTTTCTGCGCGGATCATCCGGCAGCTTTCAATTTACCAGGTGACGACAGAGTACTTCTTCGTTCAAGTAACAGACGTACAGAGAGATACAAGGCAGAGAACGAACGATAGGCAGATGTCTTCGTGCTTTTCCCGCATGTGCCGGCAATTATGAGAAATGATCTAATAAAGTAAGTCAATAATTTAGAAAAAAATGGTTATTCGAGCGTCGCATTCTTTTAAAATAAAATAATATGATGTAATTTCTGAGAAGCTGTAAAAATTGGATCGTTAAATTGAGTTTGCTGTTGTTAAACGGAGTTAATGTTCATTTTGATAGTGGACTAAGTTAGTTGCACTCTCGTGAATTTGTTACTTATAGAAAAATAATTAATTATTTTATTATCTAGATAGCTAGATCTAAGCTAGACCTAACTAGGTAGTTAGAAAAGTTGTTGCCGATTTTTATTGATCATAATAATTATTCTAGAGATTTTTCTGATTAACAACTAATGTATGTATCGGATACATAATTGAAACAATAAAGTACCACATCTGAGATATTCAAACGTCACATTCATTTTGAGCAGCTGGTATTTTAATAAATAAATTCATTTTAAAACAAAAATATTTTTAAAAAATGCTCCATTATATTAAGGATTTACTACTCTACGTCCCATCAATTTTCCAGAAATGTTTCAAATCACTCAACACTCAAAATCCCATTTCCGAAGGGTGAGAAGAAAATGAGAAATGATAAAAATTAATTGCTTAGAAACACAATTATAAAATGTGAATTAATAGACTTGGTATAAATTTTCTATCATAATAAAATTTGTTGTTTCTAATTGTTGTAAGTTAGTTTTAAAACAGTCAGTTAATTTTGAAAGTGGTCTAATTGTAAGCCTCAAAAATCATATTTCCTTACAAGCTACACACAAAATTTCAGAGTCGTGATAAAATTCTTGCCTCACAAGACCAAATATTTCAGGAAATATTTTACTTCACAGTGTAAAAATATTTTTTAATTTATTCAAACGCGAACCTTTAAATATCTCGAAACGAGAAATATACTCCCATAATCACCGGCACATATATCTTTAGACTTACTATCATACGATGAAAAAAAATTCTTTCTGCCTATGGAAATGCCAAATGTAAATTTTTGGATAAAAGAAATATTTATATATTTATATATATTAAATATCTATAATATTTATATATAATTATATTATATTATATAATAATTATATAATTATATATTATATTATATTATAATTGTATAATATAATATATATATTATATTATATAATACTTATATAATTATATTATATTATAAATGTTTATAATATTTATATTATAAATATTTAATATATTTATATACATATATATCAGCTGTAGTAAAGGAATTTGAAGGGAAAACTTAATCGGTGACGAAATGGATCTGCAAAAGGGAGCCTGCGACCGAGGAGCTCGTGTCTGAAGAATAAGACGAACAGGCCGAGGTAATTGGACCGTGAGCAAGGAGCTGGCACGTGCGGGGGAGTACACAAAAGAATCGGGTTGTTGCCTCGAGAGCTGTTCCATCGAAAGACGGTTGCTTCTTTCAAAACTAATGGTAGGTAGATTGCCACGTGCCTAAGTTTCTCGTTCCTACAATATCTACTTATTATGCAGGTTACCAAGGACTTCGTTTGTTAAATAACACTCTCGATGTACAATTGACTCGCAAACGATATTTCTATTTTCTTTTTTTTTTTCAAAGGAATTTGTGTGAATACCAAGCGTTTGCGGTACACCTCAGAAATGGCGGCCCTAACCAGAAAACGCTTTCAGCGCGATCGTGTCTGCAACAGCAGACACACACGCACACACACACACACACAAACGTACAATACGTAGGTATACTTTACCTGGTCATCGAGGGGTCGAAACCTTCGGTCGTTCTCATGGAGAAAACAACCGTGAGAGATTAGAAATCACGCGACGGGCCTATTATCCCGGCGTATATTATCGTTCGTTGCAATTTCGTAAACAGATCGCGTGGGTACCCGAGCACTTTCTCTCGCACGTGCACAGATGCACTCGACAACAGTAGAGCAGCAGGGAATACAGTCGAATACAGGCAATAAATCCTTCAGATCGTAATCTATCTTCCCACTCGAAACAACCCGGGTGATTTCAATTGCCATATTTCGTCGAGTGGTCAAACGTTGGTGTTTCTCAGATGCAAAAGAAACAAGCACGCGCTCGTTCTTTCTCTTTCTTTCGTAAATTCTCTTTCTCTCTCTCTGACATTTTTTCTTGTTGTACGCTGCGAGTTTGCGAATCCAAAAAATCAAAAAAAAAAAAAAAGAGAAAAAAAAAGAAAAGAAAAGAGGAAAATACTACGATCACCTGTCGCCACAGAAAACTTCTGAAGCTTCTCTACCTAGGAGAAGGCCCGCCAGGTTATCCCAGGTTATATCGGTGGCTAGCATTCCGATGGTTCGCGATCCCACCCACTAGCGCCGCTGGATCGTCGAACATCGTCCACCTGGGGCGAGTGGAGAGTGGCTGGCGTGGATCAGGTCACGACCAAACGCAGAGAGTGGGGGATACACGAGTACAGTACAGGCGGTATAGAGCAAGGAGACACAGCCGGTCTCTCCTGTTTCGTAGCCTTACCTAGGGACCCTTTCCTACATAAGGCCCACGTCCTCACCCCACCACGTCAGTAGAGAACCAGCCGTTGAAGTGCCACGATCTAACACCTCTCTCTCTCTCTCTCTCTCTCTCTTTGCCGCCGTTTGCATTCTGTTCTGCCCGCGAAGTTTACCTTCTTGCCAATAGAGTTAACACAGTTGCTTCTTATCATCGCTGTGGACTATGTGCCGCGAGTCTGTGTGCGGAAAAAGTGCTGACCGTGGATGTACGAGACGAATCCTGCTGCTCAAGGACACGCAGTGAGTAGCTCATCTTCTTCTTTTTTCGCGCCGGATCGGGTACCAGATCTTGGAGACGAAGGAACCGTTTGTCGGGTATTTTCGTTCGACGCGACAATTCGTCGGGACTGGTTCGTAAAAAAACTGGGTAAGTTGAAAAGCAGACCATTTCTCGCGTTATCGGTATTGTCGACAAATATTCTAGAAACTAACAGAGTTTTGTCAATCGAAAGTTGTACTTCGGCGATCGTAGCGACGAGTCAATGGTCGCTGTTTCGTTCGACAGTCGATCGTAATCACCTTGCGTCAGTTTTCAACGAGATGTGAATTGCAATTTAATAACTATCCCTCGATTTTCGTCGATACTTGCTTTCGAAAGTAATTCTCAGAACCTTAAGAAGGAGAAGAAATTCGCGCGAGAATGAGAATAATTTTAAAAAAAGAAAGAAAAGCTTAAAACTGACGAGAAAGTAGGAGGGCGAACGGAGAACGTTAAAATCGAATGAGATTGGAATGTAACGAGGAACCGCGAGCCAACAAAGGGGGTCAAGGTTATTCGTAAGTAGCTGCAATCGAATTTGGTAGAACAGCTCGAGCCACAAAAGCCAAGTACGGCTCTCGAACGATGAGATGTTGGAGGCTCGTCTAATTGTGAAACCTCATGATCCGGTAGTGCGAGTCGCGCCCGGCGACGAACGAGAGAAGCGAAGAAAGAAAAATGTGACCACTAACATACATACATCTGTCGAAGAACAGAGAAAGAGCGAAGAGCCGAGAAAGGAGGTTGAAAGAGAGAGAGAGAGAGAGAGAGAGAGAAAGAGAAAGAGATGGAATAAGAAGAAGAAGAGGAGGGAGAAAAAAGCTGAAAGGAACTCGTAATGAAGGAGCCAGCAAAGCTAGCTGCTCGTGTGGGTCCTATACAAACTTTCCTGTCGAAGTTCGAAGGACCCCGTGGGTCCACCTCGAGGAACCTTTTCTCGAGGATCCCTCTATTTAAATGGCCAGGCGTTTGTTCGCCAGGACTCGTTTCGTTCCATTGTTCCCGTCTTATTTTCGAGGCGCGTCCTGAATGTCCGCCACCCTGTTTCAGCCCCGTTCGTCAAAAGGGTAAGCGGCCCAACTTCCTTTACAATTTGCAAATTTCCAGTTTAATTTCAATTCGCCATTAACCCGCCGCCGTTTCCCTCCCCTATTGTTCCCTATTCTGTTCGTTGTTATCCTTCCATTTCTTTATTCCGCGCGCGCAGACGCGACTCTCCTCTCCTCGTTCCAAGCTTCGATTCGAAAGTCGTTTGTACTCGCACACTGCGGACGAGTTGAACCTCGTGGACGTTGGGGAAACTTTAAGTTTCCGCGGAAACCTGCAGGACCATTCACCCTTTTGACCACTTCAGCTGGCAAACCAATTGCGGACCACAACGAGTGACCAAACCGTATACAATAATTTTTCAATTCGTCGGTATATCACCGGATAGAAATTATTGAGAAGTAATAAATTTATTACTTGTTTGTTGTTCGGATTATACTTAAATATACTTAAAACTGAGAAAATATTGCGACTTTTGGCACAAAAAGTTCTCGACGTGGCACGTCATGTGGTTAACCACTTGCGCTGACAACTGATTGCGGACCACAACGAGTGACCAAACCTTAATTCGTCGCTTTCTTTTTTTTTTTTGAACTCGTCTGTATGATATCACTGGATAGAAATTATTGAACAGAATTTGTTTTGCCTGGATTATACTTAAATATACTTGAAACTGAGAAAATATTGCAATTTATGGGACAAACAATTCTCGACGTGCGTGGCACGTCATTCCAGCGCAAGAGGTTAACCGCCTGCGCTGGCAACTGATTGCGGACCATAACGAGTGACCAAACCGTATACAATAATCCGTCGCTTTCTTTTTGTATTTAAAAAGCCGGTATGATGTCACAGAATAGAAATTATTGAGAAGTAACAAATTTATTATTTGTTTTGCCTGGGTTATACTTAAATATAGTTGAAACTGGGAAAATATTGCAATTTTGGGACAGAAAGTTCTCGACGTGCGTTGCACGTCATTCCAGCGCAAGAGGTTAACTGAACTAGACTGCAACTAAATTGGAACATAAATACAGGATGTTCCTAAGTTAGTAGTACAAGAAAAAAAGAGGCGATTCTATGTGGAAAGATAGAGAATAAAATTTTTTCGTTTTCGAGTAAATTGTTTTTGAACATTGTCCGAGCACCCATATGCACGATATGCATACACAAATGAATCTTGATGAACATGTTATTTACACGTAGCACAAACAACGTCGATTAGTTGTCAATACCTCGTGTTTATTTAGAATAAGTTTAGAAATGATTTTCGATCGACGCAAAGCTGATTTCCTCGAAAACAAAATCTCGAAGTCTCTTCTTCATTTTCCACTTAGAATCACTGCCGACTCAGGGACACCCTGTACAAATGTTTACACATTTATGCAGACAAAGTACAGACAAAGTACTCACGATCAGAGACGTAAAAATCCCGAGTCCACTCTCCAATAATAACAACAACAGCACAAAACATCAGAAAACACGAGGTTGCGAGAAGTTTGCGACGTCGAGGAGGTGGGGGGGGNGGGGGGGGGGGGGGGGGGGAGAAATATACGGTATGGGAAATAGGAGCGAAACAGGAGGAAGGGCGAAACCCGGGGGACAGGTGTGCTCGAAATAGAGCGGCGAACCGAAAGTCTGTCTTCTCGGGACGCCAGTTTCCTCTCCAGCTCTGCTCCGATTCTTCGATCTCCCTTTCATCGGCCAATCTTCCGTCCGTCTCGCTCCATTGCCAAAAAAAAAACCCGTGCGCACGTAAATCGGCGACGTGAATGCGCGTTTGATTGTCCTCGACTGGCTCTCTTGTGAAATCTCCCCCCTCCCCCTTGTTGCGTACCACAAGGTTTCGTTCGCTTGTCCCTCCTTTCTCTGCCACTCTGGCATCCGCTCGTCTCTCTCACCTTTCCCTCCTTGAGCCGTACTCGACGAGACACGGGACCATTTCAAGAAAGAGAGAGATAGATAGAGAGAGAAACGTCACACCGGCAAAAGGTGTGTCCGGGGTCAATTCAATATAAATCAGAGCCGAGTCTCGGAGCGAAGAGCGCGGAAGGAAGGAAGGAAGGAAGGAAAGAAAGAAAAAGGAAGGTTACGCGAGAGGGGGGAAAGAGGGTGTTCGCTACGTCGCGCTGAATAGACCATTTTTAGGGAGCGCTCACGGTATCCCGTGCACGTCAGCCTCGTGTACTCTCAACGTGTATGTATGTACGTACGTGTAAACCTTCGCGCTCGTGTGTTCGCGACGTTTTCAAAAGGGATTAGGTACCAAGTGCTCACCTGCCCTCCCTTCTTGCTTTTCGTCCTCCTCTCACCTCTTTCCATCGCGCGCAAGAGCCTGTGTCTCTCTCTCTCTCTCTCTCTCTCTCTCTGAGCGGAGGCTTCTCTCCCTTTTTGTCTCTCGAGGCCACGATTTTCATCCTCAACGATCGTCTTTCTACCTCGAAGGAGAGACGTTCGAAGAAAGAGGTTCGTTGGCACAGTCGGAACTTTATCTATCTGTCTCGAAAAATTTGTCCATCGGATCGATTTTCGATGCAGAGATCGTCAGACTATCGGAGTAACTCAACTGCAGATTTATTTCTGCTGGCGAAATGAAGCCGCGGTCGTGACCGTTAACGCCTTCTTCTTTATCCCCGACGAGCCGTGAATAATCGCATTGAACACACTCGTTACGCGGTTCCTCGCGGAAATGAATCGCGCGACCGGCGACAGCTGATTCTTCGCTGCCTTCGCCGTGTTATCTCGTTCCCATTGACCCTCGATGGTCGCAGTCTCGGTCTTATTGTCAAAAGTTCGTTCGAGATCCTTTCGAATGTAAAGCAACGAAGATTCTGAACGCGAAGATTCGCTAGATTCGGATAATAATAAAGGAAGCTGGCCCTCGGTAGATAATAGGGGAGGCCTCGGACCTCATTCTTAATTCCCATCCTCGACGAGAGCGTTCGACGCCAAACTCGTTAAAAACAGCTTTTACAGCATACATTAAGAAGGGGCCCCGGGCGTGCTTGTAAGCACGTTAAGGGTTTTCAACCGTCGCGCCGCTCCATTTCACTCCTTTCCCGAAGGCTGAAGGAAACCACCACGCTCGATCCTGTCTCGTTCTTCGCGGGGTTGAAGACGCGAAGGGAGAGACTTTGTGCGCGAAAGGGTGCGCAAAAACGGATTAAACCTGATCGAGGGGGCCAGCCAACCCCTCCTCGCCCCTTTTTACATTTAGAACGCGAGCGGGGTTAATAAAGAAAAAGAAAAAAAGAAAGCGTAGCATCGTCGACCCCGCGCGGAGTGCTTTACAGCCTATAAAAGCGACAGATATGGGCCACGGTTCTATCCGAAACGGTGCAAACGTAGAGAGGACGACCTGAAACAATTTAATGTCGTCACACCTTTCACGGAAAGGAGAAAAATTTTGGAAAACAACTCGAGCCGAGTTCGACTTACAATCAGTCAGTTTCCATTCGCGCCAACTGAGTTTGTCGCATTTGCACGGCAATTAGTCGAAGAGGGTCAGAGTATAATCAGAGCGCGCAGAGTGTGTTTTCAACGTCTCTCGACGAACCCCTTTTCTCCTTGCACTTGTTTCCTTTGGTTCGCTTGGTGCGTGCCAGCCAGTGACGTACAATGCCTCGAACAATGCAAGTCTCACCGTCCTATGGCGATACGTTTTTGTCGTTTGCGTACGGTGTATCGGTCAGATGAGGCGATAACAGCTACAGGTGGACTGTAGTTCCCTTCCCACCCTTTTCTAGGCGTCTCGCACGCACTCGAGATTTATCGTTTGTGACTTGTAATCACGTTAACGAGAGCTCGCCAGCTGCTTGTCAACGCGCCGTCGTGTGTATTTATTTTTGCAATCACTATCGTTATTTAGGGGAGAGTGCGCGCGGTAGCCTAACCGAAATTTCGAGCTAGGCCAAGTGTCGCCAATCGAACCGCAACGAGGAGGGAGAGACAGGGCTTGCAATTAGATCGCAGATGCAGCTAGCTCGACAGACTAGTCCTTACGCTCTGGAGATTCACTCCAGAGTCGACGGTCTCACGAGTCGCGAGACTTTGCATTATGCAAAGAGACCGCGCGTACCACTTTCCGTTACGCTCGTTCCGCCGGGACATGCGAAACGTTTTAAAAGTTTGTTACGCGCGTGTCGTGCAACTGGTTTTCGTCCTTTAAAAAGAGACGCACGAGCGGACTGAACGCGTCCTGCGATCTTTAAAAACGTATCGTCGGTTGAATCCTAGAGGAAATTTCCTCTTCAACGGGTTCCGGTTGTGTGCGTTCGCAACCATGCGATTACAGTTCGTTTCACCTCTTGCGCTGGAATAACGTGCCACGCACGTCGAGACTCCTTTGTCTCAAAATTGCAATATTTTTTTCTCGGTTTTAAGTATAACCCAGACAAATGATAAATTTACTACTTCTCAATCATTTCTATCCAGCGATATCATACCGACGAGTTCAAAAGAAAAAGAAAGCGACGAATCGTTGTATACGGTTTTGGGTCACTCGTTATGGTCCGCAATCGGTTGCCAGCGCAAGCGGCTAAGAGACATTGAAGTCGCAAGAAGTAGAGAAACTTTATAATACAATGGAACGTACAAGCTTTTACTTATACGCTTCGCGAAAGATTGTTTGATTCTTTAAACATACGCTGTAAAATATCTAACGAAAATTATAAATAATTATTGCCGTAATTATAAATAATTGGTCACTTTGACCATTTTGTGTAAGCTTTAATGTCAATTGTTCCGGTATTGTTTAAGTAATTAATTCGATAGGCGCCTGTCGCAGCTTCGAGTTTTCTCGAAGAACAATGCAACTAGTCCTTCTTTGTTGAACTGTTCACAATCGGCAGATTGAAAATGGCTGGCGCAATCCTCCCCTTGTAGAGGTGATACAATACTAGAACTATCAAAGTGGTAAAAGTGACCAATTTTTTTATAATTTCCTATCCCTCAATGACATCACCAGATAGAAATTATTGAGAAGTAATAAATTTACCATTTGTTTTGCCTGAGTTATATTTCAATGTACTTAAAACTGTAAAAAGTATTGCAATTTTGAGCCAAATATTCTTAAATGCGCTTAACCTCTTGTGTTAGTAACTGGTTCGCGGACCATAACGACAGACCGAACCGTATACAATAATTCGTCGCTTTCTTTTTGTTTTAAACTCGTCGGTATGATATCACTGGATAAAAATTATTGGGAAGTAATAAGTTTATTATTTGTTTTGCCCGGGTTATACTTAAATATACTTAAAACTGAGAAAATATTGTAATTTATGGGACAAACAATTCTCGACGTGCGAAGAGGTTAACCACTTGCGCTGGCAACTGATTGCGGACCATAACGAGTGACCAAACCGTATACAATTTAATTCGTCGCTTNTTGAGAAGTAATAAATTTATTATTTGTTCTGCCTGGGTTGTACACAAATATACTTAAAACTGAGAGAATATTGCAATTTTGGGACAAAAAATTCTCGACGTGCGTGGCGCGTCATTCTCAGCGCAAGTGGTTAAATCGATGGAAATTTTAATCGTCTAGCGGTAATTCTAGCGTTAATGAAGCGTCGCAGTTGCACGTACGAGGTTTCTCACGGTTTCTGGCGGGAAAACGGAGTAGATGTGTACGCGAAAGGGAGGAATTGCGGGCGATACGTTAAAGCGAGGGTGAAACAAGCGCGAAGATAGCGATCGTCTCTGGTTGACGGTGTTTTCGACACTGTGGGCGAGGTGGTGCTCTCTCGTGCCTCACCAGAGACCAGATGGAAGGCATGCTGCGTACGCGATCGCCACCATATGGGCAGGTGCCCATGCTGTTTCGTAAGTTCACCGTGCGTACAGTATGTAGTCGTTCAAGGGGTTGCGTGTTACGTTGCACACGCACTCGCACTGAGCAGGAGAACGTGACGGAGAGGACAGGTAGAGGCCCGGGTCTACGAAAGGTACCTACGTACGTGTACGAACCGCGCGTGAAAAAGTGCGTGTCGAGATGGAGGAACGCGTGCACGGCATGGCAACAGTCTGTATGCAAATGAACGCGTTTTTATACCTAATTCAATATACGACACAATGCAGCACGCATTTCTACCGCGGGAGAAACCGTTAGAAGCGAAAAATCCGATTGTCGACAATTTTCTTTTTTTCTTTTTGGAACGCATGAAATTTCATACTTTTCCTTTCCTTTGTCTTTCATATCTTCAAACCAACACAACCAAAAACATTCACGAATGTATTTGAACAATTGGCGAACAAAGGGAGGATTCTCGGGGCGAAATCCGATCGTTCTGATCGAATTGGCAATTAGCTTGGATCAGCGAATCTCGGGACAGAGCAAAATCTTTCTTCGCGCCGTCGATTTCATTTCGCTCGCCCGTCATTTAGTGTCGTTCCTCTGTCCGTCTCTCTCTCCATCGCGAAATTCTCTTTTGACACGCGGTCAAAAGCGTGTGCTGCTATAGTACGACTACAAGCTATCGTTCAACCGTTCGTTGAAGAGGTAAAACCAAGTGTTAAGTCGTGAAAAAGACTCAGGTGTACGGGTTTCACCTGTTTTACTGTTTCCCGTATGCTGCGACAGGTGCGTCCATTTCTTTCATTTCTTTCCTTTCTCTCTCTCTCTGTTATTTCTCTTCCTCCGTTTCTTTTTTGTCACTATTCTTGACCTGCCGCTTAATTAGAACCGGACATTTATTTTTTCGGCAGCCCGCATGCTCGATTCGTCACCCTCTTTCTTCCTGCGATTGTCTTTTCCCTTTAACGCGCGACAACCTTCCTGCGCTTCTTTCCCTTCGCTTACTTCCGCGAAAAATCTGCGTAAAACCGGAAATTTTTCCGAATCTTCTTCTTCTATTTTTCTTTAATGTCGCATCGACAGCGAGGTCATTAGCGACGACGGTGCCATTAGATATGAGTGTAGTAGTTTATGTTTTTGAGATATTTTAATACTCTTTGTATATCATTTTATGAGAAGTCAGGTTTATGTTTGCGTTGATTCCGTATTTCTGTCTTATATAAAGGAACGCAGAAGGGAATCTTGTTCCCCAAGAGTTCGACGAAACGATTTCTTGCGTATCCCCGACGGACAAGAAATTTCGACGACGAAGCCTGAGGTTTTGGTTTCGCGCGCGATGGCTGGTCGTCTGGCTCGGAATCGATAAAGTTGTTGTAAAGCTTTTTTTTTCAGCGAAAGGGGAGTGGAGGCGAGTGCACGTTAGGCGCGTTTCCGCTTAGTTAGGGATTTGCTTTTTTGCCTTTAGACGATGCTGAAGTGGACGGTTTCGAGATCATTGTCAGCGAGCAGCTCGACGCCTCACGGTCCGCCTAACTTGAACAAGGCGCCCCGCAGGCCCTTTCGGGATCTATCTAACACCCCTCCCGCTGCTGGGACGAGGACGAGGACGGTGCCCAGCCAGAATGACGAGAACGCGGTAGTGGCTTCGGCGAGGACGACGCCTGTTCGCCGGAGAAGATGCAGAAGTCACGGCAGCGACCTGAGAACGTACTTTCAGGTATTATCGATTATCTCGACTCGTTCGCTCTCAAACCACCACACCCGGTGAATATCGAGTGACAACGTGAATTACTCTCGAGAGTAACGAGCCGTGTTTGTGTGCCTTTTGGTTTCAGGCGACGAAGCCTAATTTAAGGGGGAACAAACGTCAATCGATGTCACAGCAGCCGAAAAAGTCATCGGTCTCGGAGAGTTTCTATCAGAGCACGCCGCGGGTCGACGCCGATATCGGCCCGTTGACGTTCTTCCCCTCGGGCAGCAAGTGCTCGCCGACAGCGCTGACCCTGCCGACGGATCCCGCGCTCTTCATGAAGAAGGCCAGGACAAAGAGCTCGTTCCCGAGCGACAACGAGCCGATGCCGCAGAACATCGTGAACGAGGCCAGGGCGAATCTACAGTCGCACGTGTCCGACTTCTTTCAGCAAATCTCCATGGCCACCAGCCCGGAGGACGTGATGGAGGCTGACTGCGTGCCGTTCTCCAAGAACAGGGTCTACTTCCAGAACCAGGGGAGAACGACGTCCAAGCTCGCGGACTGCTCGAGGATGTCGTATTTGCCGAAGCTGGCGAGAATCGCGAAGATTCACGCACGGAACAAGACACCGTACCACGGTGGCAAGGCGTCCTCGGCCACTACCGGCTCGTTTAAGGCCAAGTCTCACAATCAAACGCCACTCGCTGGGAAACTGTCGAGTCTGGCTATTGACCAAGATTTACCCAAGTTCGAGAACATGGACAACACGGTCACGGAGGTTCTCAACAGGTAAGCGAAACATTCTCTTGCGCTGGAGTGACGCGCCACGCGCGTTGAGAATTGTCCAAAATTGTACATTTTCATAATTTTTAAATATATATATATTTAAATGTAACCCAGCAAAGTGAATAATTACTTCTTAGTAATTAAATGTATTACTTCTTGGTAATTTCTATCCAGTGATATCATTCCAGAGTCGATTTTAAAAGGAAAGCGACTAATTATTGTACACGGTTTGGTCACTCGTTATGGTCCGTGAATCAGCTGCCAGCGCGAGGGGGTTAACATTAAAATCCACCATGGATCGGTCTCTTGAATGATGGTTCTTTGAAACCATCATTCGTTTAGAATTTCTTACGTAGTACAACGTTGCTATTGCGCCGCTATTTTAACCACCTGCGGTTAACTGGATTAGCGGACCATAACGAGTGACCGAACCGTATACAATAATTCGTCGCTTTCTTTTTGAACTCGTCGGTATGATATCATTAGATAGAAATTATTGACAAGTAATACATTTATTATTTGTTTTGCCTTTTTTTTCACTTAAATATACTTAAAACTAGAAAATATTATAATTTTGAACGAGAAAATATTGTAATTTTGAAACAAAAAATTCTCGACGTGTGTGGCACACGTCATTCCAACGCAAAAGGTTGACTTCACGACTTTTCTTTTCAGTATACTATAAGAAATATACATAACATAAAATTTATACAATTATACACTTCGGTGTTTATACAAAAAGCGCTGCAGCTCTGTGTCCGACTCGTTCGATAGCTCGAACAGAATTGAATAATTCCGAGTGTCATTTATAGTCTACAGATAGCGTCCTTGTTCCTTCTAGGAATCTCGCAGGTCTTAGAAGGTCGGAGAGTCCTCTGTGTCTCCTCTTTTATGATCGACCTCCAACGTTAATTTTACCATCGACTTTCTTTACAATACGTGCAATGAATTTTTCAATATTCACTGTTTTTCTTATTGTTCGTTTTTCGAGAAAAATATGTAGTCTGTCTTATCTGCCACGACCGATTTTTTGAACGATTTATACTTTTTTTTGTAATAGTATTCTCTCTCGAAGACTCAATTCTGAAACTACAGAGCTACAAATGCAAGCGTGGCATAACTCGTGAGTCAATTTCTTTGACAATATAAAGAAATTGTATTTAATATAATATACAATTAAATATAATATAAATAATATAATAATATAATAGTATTCTCTCTCGAAGACTCAATTCTGAAACTATAGTTACAAATGCAAGTGTGACATAACTTGTGAGTCAATTTCTTTGACAATATAAAGAAATTGTATTTAATAATAATATATAATTAAATATAATGTAAATAATATAATAATATAATATTATATAATCAAATGAATTATAAATAATATAGTAATATAATATTATATAATCAAATGTAATATAAATAATATAGTAATACAATATTATATAATCAAATGTAATATAAATAATTTAATAATATAATATTATATAACCAAATTTAATATAAATTATATAATAATACAATATTATATAATTAAATATAATATAATTATATTCAATACAATTTCTCTGTATTGTCAAAGAAACTAATTTAATATAATTTCCTTGTATTGACGAGAAGTTCTGGCTTGTGGGTTTGCAAATTATAAATACATAGAAATCGCCGAGTGGCGTCAACAAGTCGTCAATCGCAATTTCATTACTGTCTAGGGAGCAGGAAATAAATTTTACCGGAAAGACGGTGGCGGAGATACTTTTGGGAGACGTCGAGGAGAGGAAGAAGGTTCTCGAGAGCAGCCGAGGCGAGGAGAGCCCCGCCAAGTCCGATCACACGTATGAGACGATAATGGACGAGGGGACCGCGTTGCACAATGACAGTTCCGTCTCCTCGGCTAGTCAACTGTTGGAGGATCCGTCACCGATGTCCTGGGCGTTCGCCTCGCCCACCAACGACCTCGACGATGGGGAATTCACTCTGAAGAGGCAGCGGGGAATACGAAGGAAACGTCACCGGAAGGACAACGAGAAAACGTTCAACGGGAAGCGAGCAAAGAGACGATCGTCCAGTCGCAGCCCGTCCGCTGATGCGAAACCGAACGAGGCGGCGGAAGACGATGCTCTGGTTGAGGCAGTGAATCCAAACGTGAAGAAACTCGCTTTGGAGACCGACTTGGACGCTACGTTGGACCACGAGAAGTGCGTGTTCGAGCCGAAGGCTCTGTTCAGCGAGCTCGACGAACGCAAAGACGAGGATGAAGAAGAGGAGGAGGAAGAGGTGGAGGTGGAGAGGAAAGCGAACACCTGGGACCTGGACAGTCCGAAGTCGACTCTCACCGACGATTTCCACAGCTCCAAGTCGCTTCTGACCTCGGTGTCCAACACCCCGGAGACACCGTTGGTCGCGACTGTGAGGAGGTGTCTCAAGTTCAGCCCGGAGAGCGAGCCGCCGCGACAGAATAGCCACGGATCGATCGAGATCGAGTATTCCGTCGTGGGCGATCAGATACACGTGCGAGGTGAGTACGCGAGAAGAAGAAGAAGAAGAAGAAGAAGAAGCTTGTCGTTCTCTGCCCGTGTTTAAAGCGCCAGATTGTATCACGTGTTACGTTGCAACACGATGAAATACACGCGAGTAAACGTTCGAAAGATCGAAACCCACGGGACACGCGAAACCCCCCCCCTCCCGTTGAAAGGAAGTCTCGCACGGGTCTCCGCGGCGCGAAGACGTCCCTGAAACATTGTTGCGAGAAGGCATGCGCCGGTCAAACGCCACGAGAGGGGGTGTCTCAGTTGGCACCCCGCGATAGACGACTGTGCCAGTAACCCACAGACCCTCCTGGCAATTGGCTCCCGGTTAGTAAGCCTACCGACATTGATTCTCCGCTCTCTGTACACGTCCTTGCGTAAACAACTCTCGAGAAAACCTGCGAGAGAGAGCCTCCCCCATTCCTTTTAGCTGTGCTTCTTCTTCGTCGACGCACGAAGAAATCCTCCGTCGAGTAGGCTAACTCCCTGTTTGTTGACGAACTAGAGCCTCGACGAACTCTAGCCGCGGTGGTCGTCGGTATATTTGTCACATCGATTTCTTCGGATCGGTTTCTCTCGTTCCTCCTTCGTTGAGGAAGTTGAAGTTTAACTGGAGTTCGTTTACGGGGGAGATCGCTCCTCGTGGTGGAGTTGCGTGCGTGTCGCAGCAAGTAGAGAAGTGCCGCATTGGCCGGACGCTCGCGGGATGCGCGTAGTGCGTGCGAAGGTACGGTCGCTCGGCCTCGAGGAGTAAAACAAATCCTGAGGAACTCTCTCTCTCTCTCTCTCTCTTTCTCTCTCTCTCTGTTTCCGCACGTTCCCCGATCGACTATCGGTATATCGTTACTCGCGGCTCGAGAGAAAGGAGAAGGACGTGCAGACAGTGTGACGTGACCTGACATGGCCTCTCAGTCTTTCTGTTTTCGCGCAGTGATACGGTGCAAGGACCTGAGGAGGGCGTACGAAGGTCCCGTTCACGCTTACGTGAAGGCGAGCTTGAAGAACGCGAACGGCGAGGGGGTGGTGAAGAGGACAGCGGTGCACAGGGCCACGCCGAATCCCGTTTTCCACGAGACCTTGGTACTGCCCTGCCCGGTGAACAACAACCACTACACCAGCAACACCACGTCCCTGGACATCGCGGTCTGGCACAGAGATCGTCGTGCAAGGTGAGAAAGAGCAGCACGCTCGACAGAAAGAAAACGCGCGTGTACGTATCGTTTTGGAAGAGAGGGGGGGGGGGGGGGGGGGGGGGGGGGGGGCTCGGACCCAAAACGGATTTGTTCGGTTCGGTTACCGGCGAATCGACACGCGCGAGCCCCCTTCTTCTCGCGCACGAGTTTCTTCCAAACGGTAATCGGTACACGCCGCTAGAGATACTAATCTCACATTGTCCGCGTTTACCTGCATTCACCCGTCAGAACGTTTCGTCGTTGATGATTCTTTCTCTTCGAGAAAGCGGGAAGACAATTTCGCCAATTTCAAACTACGCTACGCGTTGCCGTCGAGTTACTCGTAATCGTAACCGTATTTCCCTGCTGCGTGACACTCGGCGTGAGACACGCGTTCGTCGACAACGTCGCCGCGCGGAAACTGCTGTTCGTCAGAGACATTGATCGCGAAACGGATGAAAAATTCATGCGAACGAACAAGGGACGAGGAATGGGACGAGGGTAGGTGGCGATCGTGCCATTTCGCGGCGAAACGTCACGGAAGTAGGCGCTGTCTCCGAGGAAAAGAATATCGGGGTCAAGAACTACGGCTCGGTCTCGTTAAGCCCAAGACGAACGAGCTAAGCAACCCCGTTCCCAATATTTCCACCATCCCTCCGCCTCCTCTACCCCCCCCCCACCTCCACGTTCTGTCTCTGTTAAACGCGCGATTCCAAAAACTTGCTACTTTCTCTCGGGAGCGAGGGGTGGGTGAGATTCGAGTTTCGAGGGTCGGCCGCGCGAAGGAAATACGACCGGTTTATTTACCGGTCGATAACGGGACGCCGGTCCGCCGTACGAGGGATAATTTTACGTGGATTCGAGAGCCAACGGTCCATCTGAATAGCAAAACGAATTTCTGGGGTATGCGCGGATTCCTTGCGGTAGGAGGGGAATCGATTCCCTGCGAGCAGGCATGCGCACCGTGTTCACCACGTGCACTCGCGGACATCCGCGCGTCTCTGCAACGGTGTACAACAGGAAACAACCCCGAAACTCTCTGTCTGCCTTCTCTCCGCTTCCCTCCGCCCCGATGTAAATAGTTAAAACTTGTGTACGTGTGTCTCTGTGTGTGTGTGTGTGTGTGTGTGTGTGTGTGTGTGTGTGTGTGTGTGTGTGCCGTGTGTTGTGTGTGCATGTGTCTGTCGTACGTATCAACCAACGCCGGTAGCGCCGATAACCCGATAGATTCAAGCACCCGATAGACACACTGTTATGCACACGATACAGTCGACATACAACGCGCGTACATTCATGCCACTCTCTTTTCGTTTCTCGTGTTTCAGACGTAGCGAGTTGTTGGGCTGTATGACTCTGCCTCTGCCTCTGTCGCAAGATAAGGTAAATATATATATATATATATATACGTACTCGAATTCCTTTTTCTCTTTTATGTATCTCTTTGATCGTAAGATTTTTTTAACTGGTACGAGAGAGAGAGAGAGAGAGAGAGAGAGAGAGAGAGAGAGAGAGAGAGAGAAATATATTGCGTTCAGCCGCAATAGCGTTTTGGCAAACGAGGAAATTTGATACGTGACTGCACGTCAGCTGTTTACGCGGATTTGTAAGTCTTCCTGGCTTAAGGTCAGGGCTAAGCTCGTTACGAAGAGAAAGAGAGAGAGAAAGAGAGAGAGAGAGAGAGAGAGAGAGAGAGAGAGAGAGAGAGAGAGAGAGAGAGAGAGAGAGAGAGAG